AAAAATCCATGGAGGTGGTGCTGGCAGAAGGCCTCCCATTGACTTGGTGAAAACCTTCACAAGTAGGATGATGTCATTTTGAGTATCCATGGTGTGGGTTTTTACTGGGGGGGCAGATTGGACTTTGAGTTAATCTTTGGTTTTCCTCTTCTCTTTCTAAACGTGTGAAAAAGATGAATGAGTGAGCCTGTAGTATTTCTCATCTCCCCTGGATTTGGGGTGGTCAGGTGTTTTTGCTGCTTGTCTTTCCAATTTAGAATTCTGTAAGAGGGTTTATCTGGAACAAGCAATGTCTTATTTAAATGAGACTAATAAAGCAATGAAGAAGCTTCTATTGCAACTGTTCATCTCCTAATTAAAGATCAGTTCTGTCAAGCAAGCAGTTTTTGGCTGTTCTCTTCTGTATGGGTTTCACAATATTTCTTACTCATCTCAGCACGAGTGGTAGTAATTTATACTTGCATCACGCAAACACACACAAACTTAATTTCGGGCATGTGAGTAGTCCTGATAAATGAACCTAAAGTTAGGCATATGAATAAGTATTTCCAAGGTTGGGGCCTTTGTCTGTATCTAAATATTTTTGTCTTTGATCAGTTTTTGAGATAGCAGATACTTGAATTCTGGTAATATTTTCATATGGGAGGAAAAAAAAACCCAACATGGTTATCTGAATGCTATGCTATTTATGGTCAGATATATTTTCAACCTCCCGGGCTAGAATGGAATGCTTTGTACTGTTAGAAGCTGGGAATCCTTCCTCGCTCTGGTGTGTTTTGACACATTAGATCTTAAAACTATCTTTTTCTGTCTTGGCTTCAAGGTAGTTATTAGGCCCTGGTCCAGTACTGAATGGTGCATGCATGTGTGAGCTAACTTGGAAAAGTATAATTTTTAATCCACAATGTTACTAGTAGTAGGTGTATGTTTCTCTCTTGGCTTTATGGTAAATAGATTTTCCTGATGCAGCGTGACTAACAAGACGTACTTCTAGTAATTTGATGCATTTAGATTGCTTAAATTATTTGACCCAGTATTTTAAAAACAAAATGTGGCTTGGCTTTTAATTGTTCCTGGTATTTGGGAGAGTGGAACAACTTGTTTGAAAATGTGCTGATGTTCATCAGTTATCAGACAAAATGTCTACAGGGTTTTATCGTGTAGCCTAAACTTGCCAGCTAGATTTGGAATTAACTTTCCAGCTGTTAACCACACCCTGCTGTGCCTTCAGCTTGCATGGTGTTTACAATAGCAGGTGAAAAACATTTTGTATGTTATATATAGTGCTGGATGCTATAACACGGTGAAGGGAGTTCCAGTACTGCTTTCAAACTTCATACAATTCCAGAGTGAAGACAAGTTGCACTGAAATACTGATAGCTGTTGGATAAACTCATGGGAGCTCTTCTGTGTTCTTTGATTATACTCCATTTATCCACTTTGTCTCTCTTTCTGCTGTAATACACAAGTGACATAGTGTTTGGGAACTGAAGAATGTCTTCAGCAGATCAAGAAGTGCTAGGTACTATTTGGGTAGGTAGCTGGGAAAAGAGGAGGAACTTCTCTACGGAGTGCTCCCTCACAGTCTGGCTACTCGCAGTTGTAGTCTTGGCTCAGCCGACTCCATCTCTAATGTCTATGATTTTGTAACTCGGTGGCCCGAAACGATTTCAGGTCTGGGAGGGGAGTTTTTCGGGAGGGCTGAGGAGCTTCACCTCCAGCCCAGCTGGACAAAGCCCACCCGCTTCCTACTCCGTTGGTTTTATGGAATGCCTCTGAAGCAAAGCAAGCTCAGGAGAGGGCCTGGAGCTCCCTCAGCCTCCCTGCCTCTAGTGAACGTGCTGCCTGTGCCCGAGAGGCTTCGCTGCGATGGTGACCCGCTGCTGGCCCAGCTTCCCCGCCGCGTCCGTCCCTCCCTCTCTGCTTTGGAGAAGAAAGAAACGCAGGAAGCTGGCGGGCGGCCAAGGGGCTCCAGAGCTTCCGGGAGTCGTTCCCGGCGTGCTCCGCAGCCGTGTGCCTGCGGACACAGTGGGGACGGAGCCCAAGGGGAGCAAGCCCAGCACTCGTGCCATCCCGGGCCTGGGCTCGGGCTTCTCTTCTCGTGCGCGTCAGCATCAGCGTGGTGGGGATTCTTCGGAGCGAGCCGCCTCCTGGGAGCCCCGACTGTGCCGTGCCTGCGGCTGTTAGTGCAGTTACGGCCTCAGACTAGGAAGCTGTGGGATTTTGGCCCTCACTCAGTGGGTCTTCTGTGCTCACCGTTAACGTCAAAGCACAGAAAAAACTCTTGATGATTTCAGTGCCATTCTATATACAAAGATTTTAGGGTTCACTTTCTAAATAATTAGTGTCGATGTTCTACATATAAGTAGAAAGGTTGTACACAACTTTCTAGACCTCTAAAAATAGGAGATTTGCACTTCATCCTTGAGCAGGAAAAAATTAACTCTGAACCAACCAAAACAGTCCAACAGTGAACTAATTTCATTTTGTTCATAAATGATTTCTTTTGCTGCAAGAGCATAAGCCTGGAGTTCTGGGAGCCTGATAAGAAACACTGAGATAAAGATTTTCACTTAGATGCTTCATTAAAATATTTGTTAGCAGTGTTAGGATTTCTTATGCAGCTCAAAAGTTCATGCATTAGATAAAATGTGGTATAATTCCTCCTGAGCATCTTTTCCTGCCTTTGCAGGGACGATAGATTGCCTTTCCCTGGATGCCTTTATTTCCTTTTCTACTTTTCAATGAAACACTTGATTAGTACTGCGCCTGTGTACCGTACAGTGTTTGAACAGGGTTAGGTTGGCCTGAGATTACTTTGATTTTCTTTACTTTGAGATTCAGGTTGTCTGTCTTGCACAAAGTAGTTCTTCATGGACCAAAATTTGTAAATGAGAGGACTGAATGCTAAAGAGATCTGGCTTTGCAGGTAGAGCAGAATGAGGAGAGGCTTGGTTAGCTACATGTTTCTTATTTGAATAAGAATGGATTTTCCAGGGTTCTGAGATGAAAATACTGCTTTTTTGGGGGAGGAGAAAAGAGGACTACCACTTCTTGTGGAGTCTGTATGCAACCTTTTTTCTTCAATTAATTAACTTCTGTGCTGCTTTACCCATAGATTCCTAAGACTTATATGATCAAAGGCCCTATCTATCCTCTTTATTTTGAAGCCGCTGTTGTATTTCAACTAAATTTGATGCTGTTATCTGAAAGATGGCAAGTGCCTTGATATGTATAATTATTTTTAGTAATAGACTGACATTTGAATTTCAGTGGCCTGATGTATCATCAGGTGTTTGTTTTGGAGTTGCCATATTAGTGTATACTTGCATAGGGGATTGGCATGCGTGAGCTGGCCAGCGTTTTGGGTATATATGCGTTTAACGGCGTACCTATTATTCAGAGAGAGGGATTAAGTTGAGTACTTCTGCTATGTATCCAGTTATGTTTTTCAAGTAATGGGGAGGGAGCTACTGTAGCTCCTAAGACTGTGCTATTTCTGCCTGGGCCACCCTATACGTAATTATTGAGGAAAACAGAATAGTTGACAAGGTGCCTCTCCTTTGGAGAATGAAGCAGCTTAAAACATGAGGTGTGTGTTTTGAGTAGTCTTCTTGGTGGTACTCAAGGAATCTTTTATTGTAATGCTCTCAAATGCTCTTTGAGAACCGTTTGATTCTACGTGTTGGACAGGGCCATCACTCAGCTCAGTTGAGTCTAAGTTTGGAGGTGGTGTCCTTGGGGCTGTCCTGCGCTGATGATGTCTTTTTCGAATGCAGACTTACTGTGGGACTATTGATCTTTACCAAATAAGTCTGTTTAAACTAAGTTAAGGTTAAAAAAAAAAATAAAGTTGCATTGTTTAATGCCTTGTTAACTTTTCTGATATTAGATTTCTTTTTATTTCACTCTCTTCCCTTCCTCCCACTAACCCTCACCCCATTACTTCTTGGAAAACCTGTATAAATAGGAGGAACTGAATACAATAAGGATAACTATTGCATATATAGGGGGAAATGTTCAACTATAATAATTGCAGGTGTCTTCATTTAGAACAAAAGGCGACTTAAGTTATCTAGTCTTTTATTATACATACCCATTCAGCTCTAAATGTGTTGCTTTCCAGCTGAAGGATCTAAAAACGTTTAACAAGTAGGAATTGAGCTGAAGTTCTGAAAAGTTCTGTGTAAAGTTGATGCCTTAAACTGGATGGCATACACTTTGTCATTTTTCTGTGGTAATTCAAGGAAAAAAAAGAAATCCCTGTTTCGTAAGTCCTACACCTTTTCCTTGCTTAGAAAATGTGTATACGTTTCTTCCTTCCTTTAACTGTGAGTTTATTTTGCCTATTTTATCTGTATGTCCCAATAATATTTGGAGTAGTTAATATAATTTTAACTTAACTTTACTCTGTTGTGCTTGTCTCAAAGATGTCAAGTTCATATGGTTTTATGGAAATAGACATCTTGTTGAGAGATGTCAACATGAGCTCCTGTATTACTAGGCACCACAGAACCCACATAGGAAGGAGATAACTGGAATGTCTCAGCTATAGGAGACTTTTTCAGTTAGAGTTTGGACCTTCATTAGGTGCAAGATACTCAGTTCATCAGCAGGACAAAAAAAATCAAGCAACATTAATTTTTAGTGTATAGAACTAGTTGTTACGAGAGGAAGATGATCCACGAGCTACAGTACTCTACTAAGGAAGAAAGACCTACTAGATGCTGGATTTGAGAGCATAGATCCTGCTTCTGTTCTTAGTTCTGTTTGAAACCTTAAGCATATTGATAAAAGATAGTAATTCTTTACCTAGTTGAATCAACTGTAAATGGACTAATAGTTGACTGTAGTAGAACAAAAAAGACTCGTTCTCTTGTGAAGGCATTACAGAAGTGTGAAATAACTGTTTATATTTAAGCATTAGTGTTGACATCGAACATAATGCTGAGAAACAAAACAAATTCATTAAACTTATGTTCTTTCTTCTTTTCAGGTTTCCTCTCAAAAAACCTACAAGGTGAGTTACTGAAGTTTGACTGTTTATTTGTATTGCAAATTATGATACAGCATTTTGGAAGCAGGAATTCTTTTAAAAGGGGGAAAAAAAAAAAGTACAACCACAGAAAGCAATACCCATTACAGATGTGTGGAAATTAATATCCAGATTGGGACAGGGTGCCAAAAATATAGTTGGTAGTGTACTTAAAGTGCACGGCATAGTGTTACCCTGTGCGTTTCTGTTACATACACTGGTGGGTCGTCTTACCTGAGATTTGAGATAGTCAGAGAAGGTGATGCTATGTTGGTGTATGATGTACAGACACTTCCTTTGGGTGGGGGAAGGTGTTCGAAATCTTTAATTTTTGCATACACAGATATTTAAGGTTTGATGGGAGAAGAGGTAGAGTTAAGATTTCAGGAGTTTTTTCAGTTTTACTTAAAAATAACTTAAAATTTGTTTTGCTTTTAAAATAAAAACTTCCTGGTGTTGAATGATAAAGAGAATGCACTTGCTGTTACTAACCTCAAAGATTAATGAGAGTGTTTCTAGAACCTTGAATACACTCCCAAAGATTCTGAGGGAGATATTTTTTCCACTTGAATTCAGTCTGGGAATAATTTTTTTAGGTGAACTTAATGTGGACGTTTTTATCTGAATTCCTTATTAGCAAACAGAACTAGCTAAGGTTGTTTCCAAGAGCCTCGCCAGTGAGGCAGTGCTTCTGTGGTATGGTAGTCAGGATCCTCTGCTTTGGTTTGACACAGACACGGCAGCATTCTGAGCAGAGAGTCTCCAGCTGACAAGAAACAGAAGGTTGAACGCTGCAGTAGTACACACGACTTTGATCCGACAGGTAAAGTTCTAAAACTTCACAGGTGAAAATCTAGACTTCAACTTGAAAAATACTGGGGATCGGAATAAGAATTGTTTTAACGTGTCAACAAATGTGGTTTTCAGAGTTGTGCGATTGCAAAGCCTTTTTGAAGCATGCAGGCATTGGAATGAATATGGGCTTGCTTTTAAACATGCTCATCTACAACGCAGCTAACTGTGCAAGAATAAATCTAGATTAGTGGTATCAGTGAATAATTATAACTACTTCCTCTTCCAGAAAAGTCAGTCTGAAATTTCAGTAGGCAAATACTGTAATTAGTTGTGAGTAGTTCTTTCGGCTGTTTTAGACAAAGTGTGGAATTGGAGATAGATGCTTGATTAGGACTGGTATTCCTTGTTGAGGTTTTTTGTGAGCCTTAGTGGATTTTAATCTATCTCTGTCACTTTTAAAGTGAGTTTGTGCTTTCCAACATGACATGTTTTAAGATGAGTGTCTATTTTTAAAGGATATGATATCCTATTTTTTAATCCTCCAAAAGGTTAAATCTGAGTCAACTTGGTAAGCCTGTCAGCGCTGTCTTGGAAATTAGGATGCATGCAGGGACTCTGATGCATTAACCCAGTGACTACAGTGTATGTTCGTGAAATGCATGACGGGCTCCTGGCCCTATGCAATGTGCATTTCTTATGTCTGTGCGTTCTGCTGTTTAGTCCAGTCTTTACCCTGGGGCTTGTGGAAGAGATGAGAGTTGAATGTAAAGGTGGTAGAACTTGTAGAATGTGTTTTTGCACAAGACATTTGAAGCTGATGTTTATAAACCGTCCTGTTCGTTAACGCTTTCTGTCACTAGCTGCACGACTCTTTCATAGTGCACATAAATTAAAATAGTTTTTTAGTGTCTGTTTAAATAAAAAACCCTGTAAGGCAGAACACCTGAATTAGTGCTTGGCATCTTTTCCTTTGTCCTTGAGAATAAGTAATGTCAAATTATTTCAGGTTGGGATAGATTGGGAGAGGTCTCAGGCTGTGAACCTGTTTTGTAGAAGGAGTTTGTTCCCTTCAGAAGCAAATTTCAGGAATACTCTAATCTTAGTTTGATGAAAGTCGTCCCAAATTTGAGAGTGTTAACCTGGCACCACTGTTACGATGCTTGTGATCTGATTTGATAAGTGAACTCTGTCCTGTAGCCTTCATAAAGTCTTCTTTATTTTTAAGAAGTGAATTCAGAATGCTGAACTACTGTACATGTTAATTACTTACTCTGGAGATAAACGTTACCAGAGTTTCTATGCTTGAACTGTTTTTATCGAGAATACTTTCTGTAGTTTATTGCAGGAGAACTTCTCTTACTGTGTCTTAGATTCTGTAATAAATTCTTTGTGGTGTTACATGTACCTTCATGCTCGTGTTATTCACCCCTTATTCCAAGTGTTTCACCTATGTTTTGTTCGCATCTTATTTGTGTTTTGCACGATTTAACCTAATAAATCAGTCTGTGTTTTTCATGAAGTTTTTTTTTTTTTCTCATGTTTGGTCTCCATATTTTCTATATCTCTCTCTCCTTTTCTCCTGCTCTCGTGCAGATAGCTCCTCCAAGAAGACAAAGTCTAGTTCAGAGGAGAGTAGATCCGAGACGTATGGTAAGCTAAAGCAGCTGCTGCAGCCTTGCACCTTTGCAGTCTGCTCCATGCTTTCTGTCTGTGCACCCAAGGCTTTTATCCTGTGTATGATTCGCATGGTTGGCTCTGCAGCAGGGAGTGGGAAACTGGGTTTAAATGTTGCTATCAGCTTGTAGTTTCTGTCATGGCTGGAAACTAACCTGTACCTGGCAAGCACAGGCTGTCACCTGGATTCTCCTGTTATCTATTTGTAGTTGGGAAAACTTGCTGGGACTGCCCTACGGGGAGATCTTCTGTCACTGAGTATTTTTGTCGTATGAGGACAGCTCATGCTGGACTCTGGAAGAGTGTAGTTGTAGAAAAGCCTGTGTCTTGCTCTAGCTGTGGAGGTTAATCTGGATTAGCCAGCAATTCATCTTTTTTTAATTATTTAGAGAGGATCTTATGTCAGTTCCTTTTCATGTTTTCACAGAAGTGGAAAAATGTGTCTGTAAATAATTTCAAAAAATGTAAGAATATGACCTTTACCATTCTTTGTTCCAAAGAGGGAGTAACTTCCCTGGAAGTCCGTTATTGTTGTGTGTTACTACAGTGTTGTGGGCTTGTGGGCTGGAACAAATTGGCATATAACAGTTTGGGATAGGAGGAGCCCCACACATCGTTATGTTGTCAGTATACCATGACAGGTGCTGTTGGAAAGAATATCTAACAAATACAGCCTACTCGCTCATTCTTCTTCTTTAGCTTACACCAGACATGTCAGTCTTTGGGCTCTGACACTCTCTCCATCCTACCTTTATGTTACTGACCTGTTGAATTTCTGATCTCTGAAGAGATTTTCACTCATATCTCAGAAACTAAAAGGTAGTAAGTTTTCACAGGTGGTGGGTGGTCTTTTGGATCCTACCAGCTTCTTAAGACCATTGGACCTAGGCTGAATCTGGCCAGAACTGCTACATTTCATGTGTCTAAATGTGCGTGTCCAGCTCTGTCTTGACTCCAGCCATGGATGCCTTTGTTTTCCTTTCCTATTTTTCTTCTTGGTATTTAAAACAGCCAGCGACACTTTGTGATTTTTCTCTGTAGAGAAAATTTCTTGCTGCCTAACCTGCCGTGGGCTTTTGAACAGATGCAATGACTCTTCCAGAATCAGCTTTATCGTTCCACTGGAATAAAACTGCTAGGTGTTAATGGCTGTGATCCAACTTCTTAAACCACCTATGTAAAACAAAAGGATGCTGTCATAGCTCTGGTTGTAAGGAACATTATAAAATGAAAGCAAATAAAAAACCCAAACCTAAAAATCCCTGAAGAGTTCATTCTGAACCAACACAGGCATGTTAGCAAAAGCCCTTTAGTTGGTGCAGTTTAGAGAGGTGTGATATGTTCCTTCTGTGAAAATGAGATCTCTTAAGTTTCCCTGGAGTTTTGAATCACACGTTTCTCTTTTTAAAAGAAAGAAAGAAAAAAAAAGAAAAGGAAAGCAATATGACAGTCTTGTTCCTCAGAGTGTAAGACTGTTCCTCAGAAGCTCTAAACAGGTTTTGAGAGTGCTTTGATTTGCTTCAGTAGAGCTGGAAACCTGTCTTAGGGAGACCTGGCTTGCAGCAGCTTAGTATGGCTTCCTCCCATGCTCGGAGATAGTGAACAGGGAAGTGGCTTGCTTGAACAGCATGTGTTTTGGGGTGATGCTTCTGATGAGCTTGTGTCGAAGCCTCGACCAGCTCTTCCCCTTGCTAGGTAGATGCTGGTTAGTGGCAGCGCAGTCAGGTTGACTAGATTGCTACGTCTTGAACCTGCATTAATTTTTGGCTGATGCTGCTTACCGATAATATACCGGAGGTGCTGTCAAACTATTGTAGGTTAATTACCGGAAAGATTTGGTATGCTTGATGGAATGTATCTGTGTTTATACTTCTCCCTCAGTCTGTACAGTGTCCTGGTTTTTCATGTATGGCAGAAAGAAAAATGACTTCCTAACATAAGCCTCTACTTCCCCTAAAGCTTCCTGCAGATGCTCCATCCATGTCCAGTATCTATGGGAGCAGTTTCCACTCATCCTTCCTTTCCAGTGGCTTTTGCTGTGTTGGACTTTGCCCTGCCTTTTGTCTCTACCTCTGCTTTTCCCAGGTTCTGTGGTATGTGTAAAGTAGTCTGCTGTTTGCTTTGAATGGGACCAAACTATTTAAAAACCTACAAGTAGGAATACTGTACTGATAATTTTCTCGCTGGTGACTGGATGTTAGCTGGCTCTTTATTCGCTTTCCAATGGCCAGCCAAAGAATAGAAGTGTCTTGAATGACCACAGGAAGAAGAGGTGTGTCTTTTGTGTGTGTGTTTGTTCTTACCTCTTGAAATTCTTAATTAAGCAGCAAGAGACCAGAATTTCTTGAAGTATATGAGTGGCTTGAAGGTGACAGAGTGGTTAGGTAGGGAAATTGTTCTGATATGCAGAAGTTGATTTATAGTAATACGAAACTTAGAGTGTGATATTTCTTCCATGGGTCTAACCATCTCGTATCGTAGAATCATATCTATGTACCATCTCATATCATAGAATCATATCTATGTATTCAACAAAATTTAGATTATCAGGAGAGAGTTTGATTGTATTTTCAGATGTGCTATAATTTGCTTATTAGTGCCATAACCTCCCACAATACTTGATATTTGATTCTTGAAGCAGAATTCTTATCTCTTAAATGAACTTCAAATTGAAATTAGCTTTCGGAGTGGTAGGTGAAATATCAATTACTCTTCCCCTTTCCCCGTGACTTCGTTGCTCTCCAAAGATATCTTCCTTTTTATTTAGTAATGATCGGTTTCTGACCCAACTATTAGACTAGTCCGTATACATACTCTTTCATGTATTCTCTCCAACTTTGGCCAGGTTTTAAAATCTTATTGTTTTGAAACCCCAGATTTACCCCTGTTAATGTTTCTAAATCGAACTTACTCTTCCTGTTTTGATTCTTGCAGTTCTTGTCAGCCTTGTGTCGTTATGTTGTGGCTACCATTTTTCCAGACTCTTGAAAGGACTCTTGGGAGCCCCTCATCACTACTCTTTACAACAGCTAGAAACAGCTGGGAGTGCAAGGGGGACTCAACTGCAGGGGTTGAATGTGTCATTGCCATGGGAGCAGATAGTCCTATTTACCATGGTTAAAATACGTGGTTCTTTTATCTAGAAAGTTTACCAAGCCTTGTTTTATGAACGGTATTCAGTGCCATTGTTATTAACAATTTTATCAAGACGCTATACACTCTGCTAATTTCAGACAATACAGTTTTTACTTTGACTTAACATGACTTCTGTTATCAAGTTAGTGGAAGAATCTGGAGAATGCTGCTAATATGCCATTTAGTATGAATATCATGGTACTAGCTAGAACTAAGTGAAATTCAGAATTTCATCCTATGAGAAATTTTCTTTATGAAAGCTGATAATTTTATTTATTTTGTGGAGTGAGGTTTCTGAAAATATTTTATAGAAGTAAAGCTTCCTAAATGAAGTGAAACATTTGGACATTCTCAAAACCCCAAGGAGTTTGTTTTTGTTTGTTGAATGATTCACTTCAAATCACTATATTAAGCTGCATTTTCTCATTGTGGCCTCATGCCTCCAGGAAGGTTATAGTTCACAAGTCTCCTCCTATGCCATGTCCCACACAGTTTGATCAGAGGAAAAGCTGTATTGTATTATAGGATACGTAATTCATGTCTTCGTTTTCTCTGGTGAGTCAGGTTTTCAGAATGAACCCCTGCTCTATTTGTTGTGTACTGCTAGGGAAATGAAATTTCCTATTTTATTGAAAAAAATCCAGCTATTTAGGATCTGTAGAAGAGAAGGTGCTAAATGATCTCTTTACTAGAGAAGCTCTTGGACAATCGAAGTGTATCTGGCAAAACTGTTTGAGACAGTCGTTTTTACCATGGTGCGTCCATGACCTTGAGAAGTTCGGACTTAGCCCTTCCCTGTTATCCAAAAGGCACACATGTAATGGGGCTGGAAAACCGAGCCACGATGTCGCAAAGAGAATAGTGCCACCTACTGAAGAGCTGATCGTCTCAGCTTTTCTTGCAGTTCCTTTCTTCTGAGACTGGCAATTTCTAACTGCTTTCATTTTTAATCTTAAACCTCTTTAAGTACAGCACACGGTTAGCTGCTTTACTGTACTCTTGGCTTGAGGCTATACCAATGAGTTTGGGGAATTATAATACACAGGATGAAAAAGGATTTTTAAGATTTATTTTATTTTCTTCACAGAATTTTATGAATCCAGTGAAGATATGAACATGTAGTCTGATTTTTGTGTACTTAAAGCGTAGTTACAGTGATGTCTCCTCATTTCATGCCATCAAGATACTGTCATGTGAAAGCAAATGTGAGAATAAGATTATTATTGGTTTGGTTTTGAGTGCTATCAATGATGAGTTCTATTGACCTTGTAATCTTTACTAAGCTGCAGCTGGAAAAAGTGAAATATAATGGTAAGATATTTCAAACTGAACGGCTCATTATTTCCATCCAGGGAACGCTAAGCTTTGGAACAGAAAAGCAAAAAAGATGAATGAAAAGCTGATTGCCACTTGCTAACATGGGTTCTTCAGTGTTGCCCCAAACTCATAGACTTTTACTAAAGCGGATGAAGTTGGTTTAGTTGGTAATCTAATGTAACTGTTCCTGTGTGTACTTCTGATACCCAGGCATGATGGTAACAGCTATTGGAAACTTTACGTTGCATGTCGTTGAGCTCTCAGTGGTTTGTGGCTTTCCTTTCAGTCCATTCCAGAGTGTCTAATGAGGTGTTCAAGGTACAAGACTTGAGTTGTGAAAACATTGCTGCTCTGGTCTTAAAATTCCACCACTAAGCAGATTTCAAATTGAATGTATTGTACTTAAAGAGTAAAAGTGAGCAAATGACAGATTTGGGGGATTTCTTTGCTAATTTTTTCTCAAGGAAGTGTAGAAGAGGGCACCTTTTAGTCCACCTGGTTCAGACAGAGGGCGCTATCAAAGCTGGTCTAGTTCTGCAAGTAATAGTACTGTCTTCAGAAAACTTACAGGTAACTTCATTAAAATCACTGTAAAGCTGCTGCGTATCTCTACCAAGCACAATATCTTTCAACTGACCCACCTAGACCTCATTCCAGCCTTTTATATTGTCTTACAAGAAGGGTTACCTGCCTGCTTATGTTCTGAAGAGAACAAATAGAGTGGAAAAGCAATTTTGGACTAATTTGGGTTCGAGTTGTCCTAATTTCAATTGCCTCCCCATTCTAAAATTAAAAGATGGTCTTGGGTGAAATTGAGACTTGTGGCGTGCATCAGTTTAACTTGATTATTCTTGGATCTTAAATTATACTCTGTAAAGTCAGTTTATGTTGCACCTCCTACTGCATTGACTCTGCTTTGGCATTGGCTTTGTTCAAGGAGTAAGCTTATCAGTAGATCCAAGAATTATTGGTTCTGGAAAAGGACGAAATTCGGTGGAAGAGCAACGAGTACGCAGAGTTATGCCGTGCCTTTAAACAAAGACAGTTCTTATGAGTCAAAAGATTAGTTAGTGTCTTACTCATAAAACCTGTACGTCTGGCAGCAGGGTTTAAAACGAGCTGTTTTGGTGAAATAGCATATGTTCTCTTTCCCACACCCCACCCTGGGGCATCATTCTTGTGAAGTGAGACTTAAAGAAGCTTGGTCATACAGAAAAATGGGAGGTACAAAAGGGGGAGGCCTGTTCTTTCACTTAGCCATATAAAGAGGGCGTGAAAGGTGGTGTGTTTGTTTTTTTTCCCTCATCTGCTTTCACCTTCCATCCATTCCATCAACTTACTGCAGATCACTACATACAGCATAATTTGCTTCTACTTTTTCTGCAGAAGGGGAGTTACGGAGATATGATACTGTGACCGGACTGCCACAGAAGTGCTGGAATGCAACCTTTTCCACTACTCCCACACTCATTTTCATATATGCTATGCTCCAGGAGAACAGGGCTGACTGGGCAGACAGTATTTTCCCTTGAGGCTCCTCATTTCCATTAGGAGTAGCTCCAGAGAAGTGAAAGGAGCCGTAGTGGTGCAAGAGTAATTTTAAGACATGGGTATGACTCCACACTCTGATGCAATTCATTTCTTAAAAATGATTCCAGAAAACACAGTCTTATTGGGACAGCATCTTGACAATTCCCTTTGCTACCTCCATACTAAACAAAACTGCTACAATTTTGGTATCTGTGGAGGACTCAAATCTCAAGATGCTGGTGTAAAAATTTTGCCTGATGTGGCTTTAGAAATAAAGAAACAAAGCAAGCTGTTAGAAATAAGCGTGATGTTTAGTAGCCAGTAGTTTCTGCTGTGTAAATAAAAGAACATCCTTGTAGCATTTTGCAGAGTTCCTAAAGTCCCTTTTCAAGATAAGGGCTCCATTGTGGTAGGCTTTTTGTAGATGCTCCTAAGAAAGTGCTCTGCAATGACTGTGCCAGGACTGTTGCTTCGTTTTGTTTTGTTTTTCCTTATTTCATTTTCAGGTGAACAATAGATATGCACAACATTTCACCTTTTCAAAATGCTGCGTCTACTAAGTGCTTTTATCTCTGCTACAATATTTAGGTTCACGTTACACTGAGTAGTTCTAATATGGGGAAACAAAACAAGTTGCCTTTGATGTCACACAGCGAGGTAAAGGAGGACCAGATTTGAACTTGCATCTCCTGGAATTTTGGCCTTGTACTTCAGTAGCTCAGTGGGAAGCGCCGTCTTAATTTCAGAAGTCTTGTTCAGTGTAGTAAGTGTGGCTTGTACATCTTCATGACTCCTATTGCGGTTCTGTAGGATACTGTCATCTGGAACAGAAAGTGCCCTGAGATGAGATTTTTGCTGAGAATTGGGAGAACTTTTCCTGATCAATTAATCTGTTTTAGTCCAACCTGCCAGTGTTAGTCTGGGAGTTTTATGACTTACATTTTAGAGTAGATTGTAAAATTTGTTTGATGATTTTGGTGGTGTACTGGAACATGACAGCCCTCTGCCATACTTTGAAGAACTATTAATACAGACAAAGGAAAACTGTGCTCATTGGTTTGTGTACATAGCTGCTCTTCTTGAAAAGCTGCCTTTACCTAAAGTTGTGTCGTCTGTGCCAGAGCTGTGCGCATTTATGCTGTTGTATATCTGTTTTGTGTAACTGAAGCAACACGCTTGACCTGTCTTGACATTCCTGTCTGTTTCTGGACTGATGCCCTGTTTCTGTCTCTCATATTTTTCCTTCTGTTGTATTGTACCAGTTTCTTTCAGTGCTCTGTGATTATCTAGGAGGATAAGGTTTTGGACTAATGCCTAGCTTGTGTCTCTTTGCATTTCTCTCCTTCTCTTTCTTCTGCCCTTTCCCCACCTTTCTTATGCAGGTCTTGTTCAACGGTGTGTTGTTATCCAACGGGATGAGAACGGATTTGGGCTGACAGTCAGCGGAGACAATCCAGTCTTCGTGCAGTCTGTCAAAGAAGGTAAGCAGAGTTGCTAAATTTGCTAGCCTGAGAGTGGCCTAGAGAGTTTTCATGTGAAGCAAAGAAATGTGCATGAACTGGAGGAGAAAACTCCAAAGGCCTTCCTCATGGGTGGGATGGCTGTAGCTTCGGAATAGATGCGCAAGGACAGAGAGCATTGCACGATTGAGATGCAGTGAATTGCCTCCTCAGTGCCTGATGTATTTGGAAACTGACCTCTTGCATCTGAGAAGAGGTAAGTGACTCCTTGAAATGTGGTGGGATTGTGGCTTGATGTATCCACTGCAAAGTGAGAACAGAACTGCTCTAGTCTAGGTATTCAGAGATTTTAATCTGATAGAGACAGAGGAAACTTGGGTGAGTGTGGGAAGTAGCTTTGTGTGGAACTGCAGAAGTGATTAAACCATTTTTGCTTTGAATGCTTCTATGGAAATTGGACCTAAATGGTTTCTTGCCTCTCTAGATGGAGCAGCCATGCGGGCTGGAGTGCAAACAGGTGATAGAATTATCAAGGTAAGGGCATTCAGATCATCAGAGAAGCGGATCCTTTGTATTAAATGAGGTTTTTCCCTGAAAGAATGTCATTGATATGTCTGCTGTGTTGTTTGCATTTGCCTGTGGGAAAGAGGAATGGTCTAACTTTCCATGTTCTGGGAATACCAGAACAGTAACCACTGAAAGCCTAATGCTGAATGTTAGTTTTGTTGTGGAGATCACTCTTGTTTCAGGACTTCATGGGTGAGTTTAGCATCCTACAAGGTTCAAGTATCACACATACAATAAAAACAGAAGTGGCAGAGGACAGAATGAACAGTTATTAATAATTACTTGTAAACAAATAGTCTTCTTGGATTATTGTTTTTCCTCTAACTGCCCCCAGATCGATGTTTTCTTTTAGTTCCAAACAACTAAGAAATCAAGTCAGTAACTTCAAAGGCTATCTAAAGTATTACTGAAAAATGATGGTTGTGCTACAGTGGCTACTGACGTACATAGAGCTGGGATTTCAACTAGGCATTTAAACTGATGAGTTAAATTAGCTACCCTAATTTTTTTTTTCTGCCTAGTCAAAGGCAGATTCCCTTTTTTTTTTTTTTTGGTTGGTTGCTTGGTTTTCTTTGGTATGTTTGTATAGTTTTCTTTTTGCAGAGCTCTGTTCACTAAGATAAACTGTTAGAAGGATAAATTGTTTATCTGTTAGTGTCTTGAAAGACATAGTAAAGGTGATGGAAGGGAGGAGAAATATTGTTCCTCATTCTGCGTGCTTATTGTATAGTACGTGGGTACCTTTGTTTGAAAATCAGTAGCTAAACACTGTTAACTTTCTTTTCCTCCCTACCCCCAGGTGAATGGCACTCTTGTAACACATTCAAACCATTTGGAGGTGGTAAAGCTGATCAAGTGTAAGTAAAGGCAGGTTGCTATTTTTGTCACTGTCCTCCTTTAAACCATGAAAGGCATAATTTTAAAGGACCAATGGCCACTTGATTCAGCTATCAAGTGACAAGGATGAGGTCTAACCATGCCCCATGCTGAGTGATAAAGGGTGTGTATGAAACAGTGAGGTAAAGTTGGGGTAATTTTGACATCTTAGACTTTATCTGATACATAATTCTGCAGTTTCTCCTTAGCTTGGTGGTTGAAGTTACCATCAAACTTTTCCTATGCTTTTGATTCCGCCTTAACTACCATAGCTATTCAGACACTCTTAGTGTAGATCACTCTATGACACTTGCAAAGTACTAGCATTTGTAAAGGAAGTGTATTCTTGGTTGATTTTCTTGTATAAGGAAGAAGGTGGTAGTGGTTCCTTCCACCCTAGCACAGTTAATTTTGTGGCATGAGCATACGTATACTGTAAATGCAACTTGCTGAGTGTAACCTGATAGACTAGAAATTGGATTGCGTGCATTTATTAAGAATGATTATCATTAGTTTTTGGATTACCTGAAATGTAAATGGAGATCCTTAAAACAGAGCTGGCAGTGCTCTCGGGTTGTCTGGTTTGAAGAACCAATGGGTGAAGAATGATCTGAGTTTTGTCTCTAGGGCGAAATGGCACCCAGAGAAACATAACCATAGAAATCTGCATGTGCGTCTGAAATGTGAATTGTTGTTCTTCTCCCTACAGCGGGTTCCTATGTAGCTCTCACTGTTCAGGGGCGCCCACCGGGGTCGCCCCAGATTCCATTAGCTGATTCCGAAGTGGATCTGGCAGCATTTGGGCATATGTCTCCCATCATGACATCTCCCCATTCACCTGGCACATCAGGAAATGCAGAAAGGATTACTAGCCCAGTGCTTGTAGGGGTAAGATTTAAAGCTATCTTTCCAAAGAATCAGGGTAGCAGTGGAAGAAATATAGTCATGTATTTTCTTCTCTTGTTTTGTGCTTCTTGCACAAATCACAAATTGGATTGGAATATTTGTCCTACCACTCAGTGGGCATTTAATCACGTGGGGAAAAACATTTTGCAAGTGGAAATATCCAGTCCTATCTGAGATACTACAAAGACAGTTGAGGAGGTATTCGCAGGTTGTCTTTGAGATACACCGCAATTTGCATGATGTGGGTTTACACGTTGTCTGGTCCAAGCTAGTCATGCTGTAACTTCTGTTCAAAAGTGGATTGTAAGGTGTGCAGACGTGGCAAAGAAGAGTAGGAAAAGCAAACAAGCAAACGCTTGTGGTCTGTCATTTTTGTGTGTGTATGTTGTGTTTTTTTTTAATTTCATAGCTATGTTCAAAAGTAGGAAAGGATGCATAGGATAGGATTTAGAAACTTGAATTGCTTCTTTTAGGGCTTTTCAAAGCCCATGTTTAGGAAGTAGATAAAAAGTGGGCATATCCATTCTCCCTTTCTTCCCAGCTCTGTCAAAAAACCCAGCCCATAATCTCTCCATATATGTATTTTCTAGGAGGAGAATAATATTGTCCACAACCAGAAGGTGGAGATTCTGAGAAAGATGCTACAGAAAGAGCAGGAGCGGCTGCAGGTACTGGAGTTGCGTGGGTTTGAGAGAGGTCGAGGAAAGTATGATGCAAATATGAAGATTGTTTATTGAATCACTACTTAGTAGTATCTGCAACATTCCCTTGCATAGCTTCTGTTTCAGCTTAGCTTTTCTATCTGGTGACCTAACACCAGAGATCTAATTACTCTTATTGATCAGCTCTTGAGTTTTTTAACCCTTGAGAGAAAGAAAATGCTTGTGGGAGGTTTCTAAGTGGAAATGTACATATCCATCAATCTGATCTAATCCTTGGGCAAGTAAGCATCTTTGACTCTTACTGAGAGATTTCAGTAAATCTCTAGAATGCAGTTATTTTTGTACAGCATGGGAGAGAGAGGAGAGCTATATAAAATGGACATTCTGTAGTATCTGCTTCGTAGGTTTGCAGATGTGCTGTATGTTATTTAAAATGTATAAATGGCATGAAAATTAGTAGTAGGTTGTAGTTCTAAGCTTTGATATTGAGTGAAAGCTCATAAAATTATTTTTCAGTCTCTGCAAGAAGAGTATAGCCGATCACCCACCACACGACTGCTCAAAGAGATACAGGAAACGAAGAAGCACATTCCTCAGCTGCAAGAACAGTTGTCCAAAGCCACAGGCTGTACTCAGGTAACAGAATGCGTCAGCCTTCGCTGTGGTATGTTCTGAGTGAAAATTCTTGGGGGATGATGGTGTTCCGGGAAGCAGGAGTTCCCTGCCCTGCTCTTCTGTGCTTGTACAGGCAAATCGCACCCTCTAGAGTTGAGACTTGTAATTAGGCTTGCAGAGGCTGTCGAGCAATACAGTGCCATGTCAGTGTATGAAGTAGACTTTACAATGGACTTTCAAATCATGTGTGAAAAACTTCTTTTTAAAACAGTAAGTGCAAACTATGATGTGTTTATCAGTCTGTCTGTCAATACATCTTAAACCTGTGAAGTCATTCTTATGGTGGAGAGTGAATAAGTGGAAACGTAAGACAGCTTTGCTTTTGCTTTTGAAAAAAAAAAATCTAAAGTAGTATTATTGTTGTCCTTTTCTCTCTGCCTATAATGTTATATGAGTCCTGAAAACTTGGCGTAATTTTCTGTTGTATTCTCTTAGAAAAGCATTGCAGCCTTTTCTAGATACATGAAGAAAGTTTTATAAATAACGTGAACTAACTGGGTTTTGAAACAGCTGATGTTTAAGGATTGTCTCTTGAAATATTCTACTTGCTCTGTGCTGTCTCTCAACTCAATTTATCTTTTTAGGATGGAGTCTTGTCCTCCAGATCTGTGACGGAATCACTGCAGATCAGTGAAGTGGATGCAGAGAGTGGGGACGGTGTGAGCAAACTGGATTACGGTGGTGACAGCCCCTCCCGACCGAACAGTGACATTGCTGATGTGAGTCTTGAACAGAGCTCCATGACTTTGCTTCTATACATTTTGGATTTGATTTTCTTTTGCAGATTCTTCATGTTTGTGTTGTCCTGTGTGTCATACATATGTACGCTGTCTCAGTAACGCTGTGTATTGCTAGAATAGGCTTCTCGGTACACGTCAAAAATATTTCCCTGAGGAAGCATACTGTATTGGTCTTCCATTCGAGACTGGAAAAGAAGTAGTGTGGGTTTTGGGTTTTTATCCAGGATTAGATTTTCCTGGCACAATTCCTGTAACCAGATGAAGAAAGATGGATGCCAACATCTTTCTCAGAACTCAGAGATGCCAATTAGAGAGTCTTTTAAGAGTATGGTAATGTTCCAATTGCGGTAGCTGTGACTCAGATCCGGTCAGTGGGCAAGTTGCCATGAAAGTGAGGAAGAGCCTTACTTCTACCAAATAAGCTTCAATTATTGCCAGCACTAAAGGCTCTTAGTCTGTTCACTCATTAGTTATCAATTTGTGAGCTCGTATGGTCTCCCTACTGGAGTGCCTTAGCACCTAATCCTTAATTAAGTCACTGATTAGTGCAGAGGAATTAAGACTCTGTACTTGGGTTTTGTCCTAAATTTGTACTAGCAGTTCGAAGTGAAAGGAAGATGGGTCAGATCTACCTCCAAAACGTGAACATATATGACGGTATTTTGAAATGTTCCTCCTCCAGCTCCAAATCTGACTAGATGTCACTCGTGTTTGTATAAAATAAATGCAGAACAAAATTCATAGCTATCTTCCTAATAAACTTAATCCTGTCAGTATTGTGGATGGTATTTGATCACTGGGGGTGATTGACACACCAAACATTCAAGCTTTTCAATCCAAAGTGACCCTGAGAAGCTTAAGGTTTGGGGGCAATAAAACCTCTTGAAGTTTAACATGAAGTCCAGGGTTCTACAGATGGATTGAAATAACTCCGTGCATCAATACAGACTGGAAACCAATAGGCTGAGTAGAAACCTAGCTGAAAAGACCTGGTTGTTACTGTGGATGTGCTGAAGATGAGCCAACAGCTCAGCTTTTTACAAATAAAGCTAAGTGTCTAATGGGCTACGTGAGAAAGAATTGCCAGCAGGTGGAGGGAAGTTACTGACCCCTTCTGCTGGGAACTAGTAAGACTACACCTGGAATACTGAGCCTGTTGCTGGGAGCCCGCTCTTCAGAAGGGATGTTGAGAAAAGGACCAAGTCAGAGAGCTGGCAACATGAGTACTACATAAACTGTCAGAAGAGAAGGAGAGAGAGCAAAGAGACAGCTAAGGGCAGGTGCACTGGTAGATTTTACAGCTCTGCTGTTATTCAGTGACACTAGCTTTCTTACTGAAACTTCTGTGTTCAGTGGTTATTTGGGTTTTCTTTTTGTTTGTTTGTTTTTTTGAAACTGTGCATGTAGGTCACATGTTTTAGTTGGCTGTTCATACCACAGTTGTTTAACAGTTCACTCTGTGACAAAGGAGAAATTTTGGCTGTTGTGGCTGAAAAAGTTAATGTGCAGTTCTCGTTTTCTTCAATTTGCTGTTACTCACCAGAACTGAACTTCCTTCTTTCCCAGAGTCCTCGCAGTGGCTTGAAGGAGCAGATTTATCCAGATGAGAGCCCAGAAAAGACTGAGGTTCAAGATACTGTGAGTACAAAGCATAAAGTGTTACAGCAGCATCTCCTGTAATGGGCCCATTAAAACCTTGCTGTTTTTCCTCCACTTTCTAGTTGCAGCATCAAATTTGCTTTAGAAAATAAAACACAATTAAAATCGTGCAGAGAAAATTAATTAGCTCAGTAAATGGTTATGGAGCTTAAGAGCAGGCCCATTTAGAGGCGAGAAATATATAATCAGCCGTAAAACAGCTGGACCTAAAATAGGTAGAGCAGTTGTACGTATTTTGTTCCTTGAGTCCAGCAGTAAATGAAACAGTCTTTTCTTTAGGATATTTAGTCATTATGAGGCTGGCATCATCACGGATGGCCTGAAGTAGGTAATAGTGGAACAGAGTAGAAAGTGCAGACCTACCTGAACCTATTATTATCTTCCTTAGGATGACTTCTGAAGTATTTTTTCCCCTCATCTGCTTGACTTTCCAAAGTCACGTTTCTCCATTTGTACCAAGATGGCATTTGTCATTTGCCTCATGCTTAGTGTGTTCATGTCTGTAGATAATGCAGCTGGGCTTGAATCATCTGATGTCGTGTTTCTGAATGCTTGCAGCTTGGGAGAAGCATTTGTAAGGGGATCTTGCAACTGCGAACTTGGACAAGACAGATGGATTTCCATTGAATTTTGAGGAGAATAAAAATTATAGTAACACCTCTAACTTGGTAAAGAAAGTACACTGTGCTAAGAGAGTAATAGCACTGTATGTTTCTTCCTGCCCTGCCCTTCTTTTCCCTCACTCTCGACTCATCCCAGGATTCCCAGTCCAGTGTTGGAAGTCCTTTATCCCGACTGGGGACTCAGATCATTGGAGCAGAAGATGACGACTTTGACACTGAACAGGAGCAGGTGGGAATGACTTTTAGCCTCAGCCACCCCTTTCCCCCCTTGACCAAAATTCTGTTCCTTGGTGCCTAAACTACAAGTGGTCCATGACTTCTTTTTATGGAATTGTTCTTGTGTGGTGAATTAAGAATTAGAGAATGTGATTCCTGTTATGGCTGATCTTGCCAAATAAAAACATTTGGGAGTTTATGACAATATGCCATCTTTGATTCTTTCTGTTACTCTTTCTTCTCATAACTTCAAGCTTTCCAGAAATTCATTTGTCTGTTTAATTTTCTTTTGCTTATTTAGTTTCTATGAAGTTCTGCATTTTTGTCACAACAGTATAGCTGCTGTGGCTTTTGACATATTTATTCTGAGTTATTTTAGCTATCCATTGGTCTGAATTATATTTCATTATATTGTACTCAGTGTTCAGGAGAATATTTAGAAGAAGTGTTACTATTGTAAGCTCTTCTGGGGATGTTAGAATGACATTGCAAAGGTTCTGAAATTGATAAGTTTTTATTTTAATTAAACAAATGAGGAGATAAGCTGTTGGAACAAAGCTTCTTGGTTTTTCTCTCAGTAGCTTTCTTGAATAATTCAAATAGTTTCCATATATCTCTGTAGATTAATGGACAATGCAGCTGTTTCCAAAACATTGAGCTCCTGAAGTCTCGCCCAGCTCACCTGGCTGTTCTTCTGCATCATGTGGTGTCCCAGTTTGACCCTGCAGCGTTGGTAAGATGTTCTGGAGTTGTTTCCGTGGCCCGAATTGATAGTCTTAACCAGAGTGTATCAGGATCTCCTTGTTCTTCTGTAGCATTGTCAGTGACATGGCTGGATCAGCAAGGAGAGAAATGCAGCTCCTGTGCAGTCATGAGAATATTTCAGATAAATGAAGAGAAGACAACTGCCTCCCTTACATTTAGCTGTTTATAAATAAGTATTTAGCTCTTGAAAGCACTTCGTTCCACCCTAAGGTGGTGGGATTAGTTGTCTACAGGGAAGATCTGATCTCTCTCTCCCCACCTCCTCTCTCTCCTTCCTCCCCCCCTCCCCCCCTTCCCGCCTCACTGCCTTTCCCCTCTCTGCTGATTACTGGGCAGCCTAGCTGAGGTTACCTGAGCAATCTAGATGGCTGAAGGTAGCTAGTAAGAGTTTCAATCCTGCAATGCTGAGTTCCTTGAAATATTTGAAAGAAAACCTGGAGGTAGGGATGTTAGAAGATCTGATAGTATTGCTTAATTTCTTCCTCTCCCATTTCCCCCAGTTGTGCTACCTTTATGCAGACTTGTACAAGCAGACCAACTCCAAAGAGACCCGACGTGTCTTCCTTGAGTTTTACCAGTTCTTCTTGGACCGAGCTGCAGTAGGTTCCAGTTATTGCCCTCCTTTTCAAGCATATCTAGCAAGTTGACTTTGACCTTTCTCCACTTGCTGAACTGGAGAAAAACTGAGGAGTTACTTAAATCCACTGAAGTTACAAGTTTTTTTTTTGTTTAAATGTTACCAGAGAGTTCGGCAAAACGAATGGTGTATAGCTTCAGATGGCTGGTAAATCAATAAATCATGGGGAATGCATCGTCTGATTGGCGAAACAATTCTGTTAAACATAAGCAAGCTCTAGCTGTAATACATTGCTTTTTAATTAACAATTGCTGTGTATATTGATGTGGCTATTGCAAGGATTGGGAAATTTTATGTGCCTGTTGGAAAGCCTAAGAAGCTTTTTTTACTGTCATTACTTTGACTACTGGATAGTGTAGCAGAGCCTAGTACCATGTGGTTAGATGAATAATCCTTGTGTAATGTAATATAATATGTATTCAGGACGGGAGTCTCCCCCTTAATATCATCAGCTGTTCAGGTTGTATGATTTCATCTTTTCAGGGGATTTTCTTGTATGTTTTTTACTATGTGTTTTATTGAGGTGATGTTTGTTGTGTATGTTCTCCCAGCCTTTCTTTTCTTTTGCAGAATCTAAAAGTTCCGGTTCCAGATGAAATCTCCTTAGAACTAGGTAGGGTGCTCTTGCCTTGGGTATATATTTCTGCAGTTTCTACTGTCTGAGGCAGTGCAAGCAAGCTTCTGAAATGCACTTGGTGTTACTTCAAACATACACTGTCATGTGTTACAGGGAGAGACAAATAAAATGTTTATGTTTCTTGGGAAGGGCATAATGCGTAATCCAAGACATGCATAACTGTTGGGAAGCATTGACCATGTTGGCATGTACATTTTTTTAGTGCGATAGTGGATGTGACCAAAGCTGCTTACACTTAATGCACTGCAGTTCATATTATCAGCAAGTGAAAGGCAAGAGGGTCCTCTTGGATAGGTTAAAGTATATATGTGAGTGACTTCATTCTAAGGTGGAGAGGACTGTTCTCAAAAGAATAATCTATTAGCTTTTCTGACTTCCAGACAAAAGAAGACCAGAACTCCTTCCTGAAGAGCTTCATCGCCAGTTTGTACAAACTATGCAAGATAAAGTCTGTCCAGAAGTTCAAAGGAATCTGGAAGATTTCAGGTAACAACAGTAGTCTATGGAGTTTTTGTTTGATTCATACCTGCCCTCAGCCAACATGTCCAATGGGAAGCCCAGACTTGTGGGACATAGTAATTCATCTTGGATTGAAGAGGAAGATACCACGGGAGAGGGCTTCTAGGGTCACCCTGTGACCAACCTTGAATGATTTTTTTACACCATGTTGCAAGTAATCAATTGCAAGATCAATTTTAGAGCTTGGATTCTTCATTCCTTGAAGCTATTTGAGGCAATTACAGAATACTGTTACTTAGATGATGTTATATAAATCCTTCTTACTAATTGTGTTTATAATCAGCTTACCTATTTTTTTTTCCTTCTCCTTTTTTCCTTCCCTCTCCCCTTTGGGCACAGAATAATCCGCTTTTAGAAAGCTTTCATGGGCATATAGTAGAATTTGATAATTAATATGCCCTTTCGTGTGGAGTCATAAGAGCTCTGTGCCAACATGAGACATTATACTAAGACAAGCGTTCAATAATGGACTTTTTCATACCTGTAAATGTCTCGATTCAAGTATATTCTTCAAATATACAACCTGGGATGCTGCAAAAAGAGTACCTACTTTTTCTTGACCCTTGCAATGCCTGCCTCTTGGTAAATAATATACAACTTTATCCCTGTGAAGACTATCTTAACTGTGTTTTACAGTGAGTGCAAATGTTATGGAGAAATATCATGACTTCTTCATTTTTGTACAGAACCCAATAAATGAAACCTGTTCGACATTCGGAGTGTCAAGAGGTTGCTTTTCCTTGTACGGGTCATTATTCAGTTTCAAGTGATGCTTCTCTCTCCCTGTTTTCCAGGCAGAAACGTAGTATGGGATTGACGCTGGCAGAAGTAGAGCTAACCAAGCTGGATGCGGAAAGAGTTCGTGACCGGAATGCAGTGGAGAAGGAAAGAGCATGTGCAGAACGGATTATTGCTAAAATTGAGGAAGTCTTGTGAGTAACAGCAAATATAATTGTGGGGTAAAGAAGGTTCTACCCTGAACCTGACAACAGCAGAGCAAAGGAATTGGGAACTAGAAGCCATTTGACATCACTATGTTTACTTTGCTTCCTCTGTTTGCTATCAGTGTGTGTTTGAGTAATGCTAGCCAAAAGTAAGCTGATAGTTAGGTAAAGTCCATATGTCTTTTCAAGGAGGCTGCTGTTCAAATAGCAGAGGAAATGATTCTATTGCCAGCTTGTGCATTACTAGATCAGAGTCGTTTTTTTGGGTTGTAGAAACTTACAGCTTCAGAACCCGTTTTTTCTTTTAATGTGAGTTGAAACCAATTTTCCCAGATGAATTTTCATTTTTGTTTACTTATTTCCGCTCCACACCTCCCAGGGACTTTCTAATGTGCTAAAGAACGCTTTGAACAGAACTGCTGATGGATATGTCTGGGTGTTAATTGGGTTTTGAGTTTTGTGTTTAAATTTTCTTGTTTTTAGGATGACATCTCAGCCTTTGGAAGAAGACAAGAGGTAATGGAAGTTGTGTGGGCTTAGTCTGTGAAGTAAGAACCCTGTTGCTGATTTTTTCTGCCGCCTCTGTGTTCTGCTGAGCAGGACAAGACAGCCCTCTGCTGGGTGTAGCCACAAACTCTCATCTTCTAAATCCCCTGGCATAATTAAGTTGAATTCAATCAAGCTCTTGCTCTCAACAACTTCTTATTCTGAAGTCTGTTGCCTTTGTTTCAGATCTGAAAGTTACTGTTGCTGAGAGTTCATATTTCTCTTGGTTTTGTTCTATAGCTGTTTCAATCTGGTCTAACCTTTATTTTCTGTATGTGCCTTGCCTTGTTCAGTTTGTATGTATACAACTGTCTGAGTAGTTTTTAATATACTCTTTACAGCAACCGTACCTTTTACTGTTACTTATTTTTACCATAACTCAAAACTAGAACGTGACTTCAAGTATGTATCTAGTATATCATTTTAGGAACTTCTCTGTAATTCTCGAAATTCTATTTTTGCCTCCTAGGCTGGTATGCCTTTTATATACTCCATCTTTTGTTTACAAGAGGAAAAATTCTGATATTGACTGAGTCTTTCCCATTGTCTGTGATAATTTGTTTCATATTAAAAAAAAAAAAAATTCTTTTAATCTAAAAAAGGTTAATTTCTCAATAGAACCTTTGCATTTGACCTTTTTCATTTTCTTGACAAGATATATGTTCCCCAGTACATTTCTTCTTACCCTCCGTCTTCTTTTTTTGTATATACTTGGCAGTTCCACAATGCAGTATGTGATTCTTACTTACATGAAACACCTAGGAGTCAAAGTTAAAGAACCTCGGAACCTGGAGCAGAAGCGTGGCCGTATTGGTTTCTTGCCAAAGATCAAGGTAGTAGTGTTGTGGCCAGAGTGCATTTGTTTAAAGCTGCCCAGCATGAGTGCTTCTTTAGAATTCAAAATCCATTTTTGCATGACACGTTAGAAGTTGATATGATTTTACAGTCTTCATTGCTGCCTCAAGAGGATCTGGGATTATTGAGCTGTGCAGAAAATCTGACAGTTGAAATTGGGTTCTACAGGTGTCTTCAGACATGTGAATTAGAAATGAGGTGCCTTCTTTCTTCCTTTATCTGTATGCCTGAATTCTAACTGCTTGTTTTTCATAGTTCTAGCTTTATTAAAACTTTGAGTGAGAAATATTTCATATAATACAATCTTGAATCACTTGAGGATCTCATTAAGGCTAGTCAGGCTATTGGCCTGTATAGTTTAGTTTTCTTCTTGAGAAACTTGCCCAAAAACTCATGCTTCATGTTGCAGGAAAGCTAGTCTTACTGCCACCCACACTTTCCCAGTTACGTAATGAGTTTTTCCCCCAAAACTCCGTTTCTGTGGGTGTGTTCATCATCTCCCACAGTACGGGGGTGTATCTGGTCACAGTAGCTATTTATTTGTGTCAGCATTCCAGCTTACTTTGAAGTGTTAAGACTATTACGAGCAGAGCAGTTCTGCACTGACAGTGTGAAAGGTTAGATCAAGCGTTCGCAACCTTTCTGAAGTGGTGAGATAAGTTGTATTTCTCTCCCAGGTTAAAGGTCTGTATGCTTGTGGAGGTTGAGAGTCACAAGATGTTGTGCCTTAGAGAAGCAGCATGCTACTGGTCACTGTAAATTGGTGTCTTACTCTAGGGAGGAGAGTGGTTTCTAGCTCCTGCCTAAGTTAAAACCAGGATATGTGAGGTTTTGCTTAGAACAGATGTATCTCTTAAGATGCTGTGGCTCCCTGCTGCCAACCCTGTTACGCACCACTCATAATCTGTCCATAGGCTGTCTTTACTTCTGATGTTGCAGGCTGTTGACCTCTCAATAGCTTGTTAGAAATAAAATTCTCTCATACCAAACTCCTGCAGTTTTAAAGAGTTAGTCAATATCGCTGTAAATAGCTGAATTTGAATAAATGAGTGATCTGTTTGCTTTGCTTTTCTTTGTTGTACACTAACTGCAGCAAAGTATCAAGAAAGAGAAAGAAGGAGAGGAAAAAGGAAAGAGAAGAGGCTTTCCTAATATTCTGGGTCCACCGAGGAGACCGAGTCGACATGATAGCAGTGCAAGTATGTCAGACAACAAAATATATGATCCCTAACTATTAGTCTGAAAGCCAGATAAAGTCTCTGTTGCCTTTTAAAAATCCATGCTAAGAAGGCCCAGTAAACTTTTTGTTTTTAAAACATGTTTTTGAAGACAAACAGACCTACTTTTGTCCTGAAATGCGTCTTCTCTTCATTGTTGAAAACACGTAAAAGCTCTTTCAGCAATATAATGTCTCTGTTTTTGTTTAGTTGGCAGAGCCATGGAAATGCAGAAGCCTCGCCATCCAAAGCATTTACCTACAGTATCTTCTGTTAGCCCAGAACCACCAGATTCTAGCAAGATGCGCCAGAGTGGGTCCTCCAGTGACGGAACAGATACACTGTACCCACCTGCCAACCCAATGTCTCCTTTGGCAATGGGTCCCTTTTCCTCTCCAGAGGGAAGCAAAGACAGTGAAGCGGGTAGGATGATGCCAGCAAACAGAAATGATTAAAGATTGTATTGTGAACAGGATATATAAAGCACAGTTCTGATGCAACAAACTTGACAAGTTAGGAAATGTTTTTATGTCATTAGACAAGATCTTCCTGGGTGCTTAGTCATCTTTTCTGACTTAGTTTCTGGTTCAAATTAGGAAATCTTATCGTGGCCAGAAATTGTTGTGAGGTGGGTACTATCACTGTAGTGCTGGATCATCTAACAGGGAGAAAAAACAGTCTCAGATCCCTGCTTTTGTAAGCACAAGTCAGTGTCATCAAAACGTTTATCACTCAGATTTTTCCTACCAACCTAGGAATTTAGTTCCTTCATCTCTGAGCTGAAATGAGGCTATGAATCAAGAGGCTATGAAGAGGACGTGAAGTTCTCTCATGTACTCTAATTTGGTATTGTTCTTGACATTTCATACTTATTCTCTGTTTAGGTTTGAAGCAGACTGGAGAAGCTCCACCTGCTAATGACTGTGTGGATGGCACACCTCGCACACCTAATAATACCTTTGAATTCCCATCTCCTTTGGAAAACCTGCGGGAGGAGGAGGGAGAATCAGAGAGGTAACTATGGTGCCCTGGCTTCTTGAGCCTTGGAAGAGAATCGATGTGACAATGGCTGTTGAAGCTTAGCCCATAAATCTTAGTGGCGTAATTAGTATTAAATGTTATTGGTAGAAGTAGGAAATGCTAGTCTGTGTCTGCTACTGTGGCAGTACTAGAAGACTATATATCAGGAAGATGAGGCTGACAGATGGACAAAATGTTCTAGTTAGGAGGTTAGGCCTTTACTCTGAAGTTATGCTGAATATCTGAGTGGAGTGAAATTCTTGCATAAGCTTCCTTAATAATTTCCTTCGTTCTTTGCAGAATGGTCGACATAGGAACACCAAAGTCTTTTCGCAAGTGAGTTTGCTTATGAATGTTTGAACTTCACTGAAATTGTTGAGATTTTAATAGATTATGAAGTAGAATGCAGTAGGGTTCGTTGTTCTGAGCCAGTACAATTGTCTGCATGATCTTTCCTCTTCTTAAAGAGCGCGTATATCAAATGAGACACGCATCCATATGTAAGACAGGTGGAGTGAATTGTGCAGATAAGCACTTTGATCTATGAGTGAAGTATAGTGATTGTTGTATCTACTGATTTGAGTTGATGGGTTAGGGAGTTGAGATTTCCACATCTTCTTTTTAAATCTGTGTCTTGCTGTTAGCTCTGCATCTGCAGATAGATGGCAGAAAGAAATTGTAGCCTGCCTTTTCACCAACTTGATGTTTGACTTCAAGCAAATTATTTTATCTGTGTCATTAAAAGCAGAGTTATGGAAATACTATAACAACAGATACTCACTCTTAGTTGTTTTGTAAAGGGCAAAATTAGAAAGTGTGCCTATAGGCTATAGCCTCCAGCTGTTATGGAGAGCATATTCATAGTGCTTTACAACTAATATCTATACTCAGATTTTCTCTTCTTCCTTCCTTACATCCATGCCTAAAATGGGAAGTAACTGACATTTTTTCATGTTAGGATGGACAGCATTGGTTTCGCAGATGTACAAAGTGAAGATGAGCTGTATGATTTTGATATGGACATGGACCCTCCCAACTGGCAGCAACTTGTGAGCCGAGAAGTGTTGATGGGGCTGAAACCCTATGAAATCAAGCGCCAAGAAGTGATTAATGGTGAGATGGATATTTTTTCTTAGCTCACCAAGCACAAAGTTGAAACTTGTCCTCTGGAGCTCTGAAGTTCTTAAAATTTAAAACCAGATCTTTCTTCCCTGATCTGCTCAAAGTAGTGGCCGTCTATTACTTCCAGTTTTCAGAGTTCGTGTGTGTGAAACTTGTTACTGAAAAGTATCCTGAGGTGAGAGTGATGCAGTCCTTAGAAAACAAATAGACAATATTAATTGGTTTGACACTGAAAGGCCAGCTTGCAGTATCATGTTCTTTAAAAGAAAGCAAGAGGCACTGTCTAGACTGTTGGAAAGCACATGATGCAAGTGGAAAGCTACTACCAAACTTCACCTTCAAAGTTTCATCTCAATTTCAGGTCTTGCAATCCTGCAGAATGCTCTGTGTGGCTGTATGAGCTGCTAAGAGCTCACTGTTTGGGGTAATTTATGAGTCACGAATCGGTTGGCTTCTCTGTTCTTTCAAACACGGGAGCATAGCAGAGCATGGCTCCATTCTGGAGCAAGCTGGAATATGGGCCAACAAGGGAAGTGTTGGTGAGGGAGACTTTTGTAAGTTCATACTTCTGACTTCTGTTTGCTTCACGTTTGGATCCACATTGCCACACCTCTCTAAGTAGTTACAGTCCTGCTTTCCCCTCTCTCCTTCAGAATTGTTTTACACTGAGAGAGCTCATGTCCGCACGCTGAAGGTTCTGCATAATGTCTTCTACCAGCGTGTCACCCGAGAAGGAATCCTGAACTCCAACGACAAACGGAAAATCTTTTCCAATCTGGAGGATATCCTTGGGCTTCATGGTAAGAGCAGCTGAGGTGCCGTTCACCTTTGTAGTCTCAACTGGAATTCTGGATACAACTATCTGAAAAATTTAAGTGACCCAGAAACAAGAGGCAACCTCATACAACACTTCAAATGAAAAAGATTGCTGCAGCTGTTCTTCCTTTTGCACACAGTTTTTCCATTTCTGGTTTACAAAGATAGTTTGATAAATAACGCACGTGTCCAGTGTTTCGGATACTTGGGTTTTCTTAATCTATGGACACAGACTCTCTTGTGCTGATTGGTGCTTTGATAAAAGGAGCAATGCTTTGATGAGTGGTCTTTATGGGCCAACATTCAAAATGTTACAACTGTTGTTGAAGAGAATATGAAAGCAAATCTGAAATAAATGGATGTCTTGCGGGTGGTTTCAAAGGGCGGTGCTTTCTAATTGTTTAGAGAAAGGACTGTTCAGAATCAGAGTTTCATCCCTGCCACTGAATAATCAATTGTATGATTTTATGCAGGTGGCTTAAGTGTGTTTTGCATTATTCCTATGTTTTTAAAAGAGTAGTGATATTGAACCTCAGAAAAAATAAGACTGGAAAGGTTCTTAGGGGTCATTCGAAGACAGGTGAGAGAAGTGCAAAGGAGTTATATAACGTTTTATTACATATTCTGCTAAATTTATTATGTTGCAGGACACTTTTCATTTTTTTAAATATAATTGAAATTATTGCAAATCTAGTCTTTTCCTAGAATAACTTTTATTTTAAAATACATGCTGAAAATTAAACAGTTTGAGCAGTATTAATAAAATTTCCTTTTTTCTTCCCCCCAAGTTGCATTGAATGATCAGATGAAAGCTGTCCGAAAAAGGAATGAGACTTCCGTTATTGGCCAAATTGGGGAGGACTTGCTTTCCTGGGTAAAATGCTTTTTTGCTCTCTTGCACTTGAAAATAATGTTTCTAGAATGACGAACAGAGCCAGATGTCAGTGAAGGTAATTCCCAGCTAATAGGAACTGAAGGTCTTTAAAGTTGTCATTTCTATGAAGTCAACATAGAGATAGAAAATGGAGGTTGAAGGAAAGCAGGAAGAACTCATAGGGTTTTCATTTGGCTAGAGGTAAGAGTAATTTAAGGAAGAAAAAATAATTTCCTTATGATACGTGGGTAGAGTAGAAAGGTAGTTTTAGGGACATAAAGATGAGAGTAGGATTTTGAAAAATGTAATAGCACAATTTGCCTGTGGTGCAGTTAAAAGATAGTTAAAAATACTGGTTCCCAATCCTCGAATTTACATAGCTGAACCTTTTCTTGTTTATAGCACTGTTGCAGGCTTCCTTTCTGAGATCTAAATGACAGGAGCAGGAGTGATGTAGATTCTTTAAAAGAAATAAATTATCTCTCAGGGAATCTCCCAGTTTGTTGTTTGTTTTCAGTCCTACTTTCTTTAGGATTGAAAATTGATCTGCTTATTCTTTTCAGCTCTTCATGCAGAAGTCTCTTGTGGTGTTTTTATTTATATCCCATTGTTTGTCTAGTATTCCAGGAAAAAAAGGAAGAAAATGAAAATCAGATGTGGCTGGTAAAGAAACACCTCCAGCCCTTTCAGTTCTTCTTTGTATTATGAAAAAACAAGAAAATACTTGCTCTAGTAAGCTAGACCTTAAGCTAATAGTTACATGCCCTTGCGTAGTGTTCTGGCTAAGTGTCTAAAACAACAAAACACAGGATCTCATTCTCCAGAGTGAGTATTTTCAGGAATTACTGCACTGTATCACAGAATGAGTAGCAGG